AGAAGCCGTATATATTGTGTTGCAATTACCAATGAGGAAATCATCTCGTCAGGTAGTGTTTGTCAATACCTCACCTCCAGAAGATAGAGTTAAACTTTTGAAAAGTTTTAGTGATATCAAAGAAATGGAAGACGATTCTGAAGAAATCTACGCCAGTGGGTTACTGGATAGATATACCAAACGTCCTGCAAAATTGGGACACTTAACATTAGCTGACTGGGCTGCGTGGTATGACTTACCAGGAAAGCCATATGATAAAAAAGTCATTTGAAACAGATATTGATGATCTGCTTTTAGAAACATCAATTGATGAACAACAAAATGATGATGATGATGAAAATGGTGATGATGATCATAATGCAACTTGCCAAAATAAATTTAAATGTCAAAAGAATAAAAAGCGTTCAAAAGCAAGAATTATTAGAAGTGTTGGTTTTAATAAGATAGCAGACCCTGAAAAACATTATAGAGAATTAATCATGCTATTCACATCATGGAGAAATGAAAACACTGACTTGATTGGCAATTGTTCTTCATACCAAGAAAATTACTTGCTATTAAAAGGACAAATAGAGGAGCAAATGAAATTATATGCTGTTTGTAGTCAAGACTTAGATGAAATTGAAGAAAAATTAAGTAGCATGGAAGAAAATGGCAATAATTATGATTTGATAGCACCCAATACTCAGGATATAGAACTTCATGATGAGGCTGAAGGTGCACAAGATTTGCACCCTGATTTCACCGAGAGCTATGACCTCTCAGAAGACATAGGCATTCCATCTACTGCAGCTAACACTGAACGACTTATATTAAATGAAATACCAGATGACGAATACCGTAATATGGTCCAGACACTAAATAAAGAACAAAAGGAATTCTTCTACCATAGCTTACATCTTATGAAAACATCCAATGATCCATTCTATAGTTTTCTCAGTGGAGGAGCTGGTGTTGGTAAATCACATGTTACAAAAGCCTTGTATCAAGCAGCTTTAAAATACTATAACACCAAAGCTGGAGATGATTTTCATCAAGTAAAGGTTTTAATGTTAGCTCCTACTGGTAAAGCAGCCTATAATATCAAAGGCAACACAATACATAGTGCTCTTGCAATACCAGCCTGTCAATCTTTGAAAGACTATAAGCCACTGGATTCTAGTAGACTAAATACTCTCAGGTGCCAGCTGGGAGGTGTGAAACTGATATACATAGATGAGATATCAATGGTAGGAAATACCATGTTTAATGTACAAATCAACAATAGACTTAAAGATATAAAAGGTAGTAAGGATGACTTTGGAGGTATCAGTATAATTGCTATTGGTGATTTATTTCAACTTCAGCCTGTCATGGATGGCTATATATTTAAAGATTTAGACAACTCAGAATACAGCATCCTTGCTCCAAACCTATGGCAAAAACATTTTAAAATGTTCGAGCTACATGAAATTATGAGACAGAGAGAAAGCAAATTATTTGCTGAAATCTTGAACAGATTAAGAGAAGGCATCCATACAATTGACGACATTCTGAAACTTAAAGAAAGAATGTTTGATGAAAAAAAGTGACCTCAACTTCCTAATGGATATTCCTCATCTTTTTATACAAAACAAAAGGTAAATGATTTCAATGAAAAGGTGCACCAAGCAGCAAAAGGCAGAAAGTACTCTATTAAATCGCAAGATAGTGTAATAGGAGCAAGCTGTTCAGAGCTTAGGGATAAAATAATGAAGCAGATACCTGATGACCCAAGGAAAACAAAACAAATTGTCTCTAATCTTCATGTAGCTGAAGGTGAAAGAACAGAATTAGCAATGAATATAAGAACTGAAGATGGCATGACAAATGGTGCTGGAAATGTTGTTAAAAAGTACAATTACATCAGAAAAACAAACCATCTGGTATAATATGGGTACAGTTTGATCATGCTGATGTAGGGGGGAAACTAGATGTGATAATAAGCACTTGTATGCACAGGGTATAGAAACTACTTGGACACCTATCAAACCAATTACTACACAATTTGCTGTAGGAAGAAATAGAACAGCTCAAGTTGTGAGGAAACAATTCCCTCTGAGGCCTGCTGCTGCTAAAACTATTCACAGATCACAAGGTGACACTGAGAGTAGAATAGTTGTTAACTTTGATACTAAAAAGGCAATACCTCACATACATTATGTGGGTCTTAGCAGAGTTAAAACCATAGAAGGATTACATATAACTAATCTTTGTGAAAAGAAAATAGCTGTCAGTCCTGATGTACAAACAGAAATGAGACGAGTTCTGAAAATTCAGGTCTAAGTCTGTCAGTATCTCCTCTTTATAGTAAAAGTCCACTTTCTTTAAAAATATGCTATCTTAATGCAAGGTCATTACACAAACATATAGATGATATACGTAAAGATCTCAACTACTCAAACACTGACATAAGCATTTTTTCAGAAACAAGATTTACTCATTCAGATCATGATAGCATGTATGCCATTGATGGATATAGTTTGTTTAGAAATGACTGTGACTCTAATAACACTACAAGACCGTTTGGAGGTACAGCAGTATACAGCAGAATCCAATTAATTCCTGGCTCTCCTTATTGTTTAAATAGGAATGGTGTTGAGCTGACTATCATTAAATGCATGTATCTACCTCATCTCACCATTATTGGTGTGTATCGATCCCCAAAAGTGCCAGTAACACAATTGTGTATTGCATTAAGACAGGTACTTTTACATACAACTACACAGTACAATATTTTCCTTGGAGATTTTAATGTAAACTGGTTAAATCAAACTGATAGAGTTCCATTATATAATCTATTTATTACAGAAAATAACTACAGACAGTTAGTATCTTTGTATACCACTGACAGCAAAACAGCTATAGACCACATTTATACTAACCTGCCAGAATCTCAGGCAAAGTTACACTTGTTAGAAACTTATTTTTCAGACCACAAAACAATATGTGCGTTAATAAACTATGTCAATACAGAAACATAACTTCAATTCAAACTTTTCTTGCCTGTTATACAGATAAGGACACAACCACACCTAGATGTAATACAATCCATACTAAAAGATGACTACATAATCATAATAATCACTACAAAGATTCAGTAATTTCTATAACTCCTTCATCCCTGTACCCTCCCTCTCCCCTAACAGTAATCATCAGGTAAATATCCACTATATTTCAGTAATTATATACTCAAAGGATTGGTTTAGCTTATATTGTGTCCTTTATTTTTTATAGGCAATAATCCTTTATTTATTAATAGTCTTCTCTTTTTTTCAGTCATGGATGATTTCTCAAAGCAAACAGCTACTCACAGCACTGGTGCTCCTTCTTCAAGTCAAGAATTTGTGGGATACATACATAATGTTTCTGCTGTGTATAACGAAAAGTTTTTTCAATGCCAGTTGCAAGGGAGGGATGAATCAGTTACCCGAGCCGTGTGCTTCTCACCAAGTAAGCGCAAGATTTTTGCAGACTTTCAGGACAAGAAGAGCCCCATAAAAATTAAAAGGTTCAAAGTAGACACCAATGCAAACACCAGTGATCTGTTGATGGGACATGATGTCATAGTCGAACACTATCCAGAACTGGACTTCCAAAGATCACAAATACAATCTTCAACCACCCTTTTGTCAGTCAAATCTGTTCGAGTTGGCCAGCATATAACTGTAAAGGCCAAACTAACCAACATGTCCAAACAGCAAAAAGCAGGAGATTTAACTCTTGTGAACTGTATTCTGCTTGACCCTACAGCTTCAATGAAAATGGTATTGTGGGAGAATTTTATTAACCAAGTGGAAAACAACCGAACATATATCTTCCACAATGTAACTGTACGAAAAGGACAAATACAATGAAACCATTTACTTAAACACTGCTAAATATGGCACTGAAATCAGACTCACAGAAGATTTTACTGAAATCCTAGCTGTGCCACTAACTCAGGACACTACACAATTTGTATCCACAACCGTCAAGGAGAAATAATGGGAATAGTTTCCATCAACTCGTACTTCTCTTGCTTTAAGTGTAAAAAGAAACTAGAGCAATCTACTGGAGCAGCATATTTGGGTGCAAAAATTGTCACATGAAGCAAAAAAACTTAAACCTGCATCTCAACACTGGTATGCTCAGGTAATGGTACAGTTCTCTGATGAGAAGTCCCTAGAACTAACATTGTTTGAGGAGCCAATCAAGCAGATACTGGCAATTCAAAACCAAAAAGCCAGCCAACATTAACTCGGGACATTCTCACAAACAGTTTATTAAATCTTCCAGCAGTAAACTTCACATACAACACAACAACCAAAGTAGTCCTCAAGATTGCCCAAAAGGAGTAACTAACATGTAATTAACACATTTTGGTTAACATAGAAGTATATACTCTAGGATGTACACGTAGTTACATCTATCATTGCAGTTCTGTTTCGTTGAATTTTATTAGTACTGAGAATTGCTACAAAAACCAGTTTGGTTAACACAGTAGTATATACTCTAGGATGTACATGTAGTTACATCTATCATTGCAGTTCTGTTTCGTTGAATTTTATTAGTACTGAGAATTGCTACAAAAAACCAGTTTGGTTAACACAGTAGTATATAATCTAGGATGTACATCTAGTTACATCTATCATTACAGTTCTGTTAAGTTTTGCTAGTACTGAGAATTGCTACAAAAACCAAAAAACGGGTTTGGGTTAACATAATAGTAAGTTAAGAATTGCTACAAAAATAAACACGTTTTGGTTAACATAACAGTTCATACTCTAGGATGTACACATGTAGTTACATCTAAGATTGAAGTTCTGTTTAGTCACGTCACCACTGAAAATTGATACAAAAACCAGTTTTACAAAAAAAAACATGTTAAAATTGTTCACTTAAACATAATTCTAAAACAATGACGTGCAAACTACTGTTTACTATTCTTGTTTGTAATAACTCATGTTTCATACGTTTATTAAAATCTTTAAAATTAAAAAGTTTTCATTTGCCAATCATTGAGTCCTATTTTTTATAACAAACCAAGTCCATATTAACCTCTTGACTGCCTGCCAACATCTTTTCATATCCCTGTGCCAAGGCTCAGCAGACAGACACGCTTTACCTTACCTTCATCGTCTCATCATCATCATCAACTTTATTTGTTTAAGCAAGTTGTTATATTCGAGGTAAATAAAATCAAAATTTCAATCATCATACAGCTTCACAAAGCTTGCCATGATCGCTCGATATTCACCGTTTTCAATACATTACTATCCAAAGAACAGCCTATTTAAAACAATTATACTTTTAATACCTTTTCTTCTTCAGCAGTAGTCACATGCGCCAACAAGGCGCCTATTTTTCTGCCGTCCTGTTGTGAAAGCTCACTATTACATCTTGCACTGTTGTAACTCCTCTCCTCTAGCCCCTTAGGAAGGCCTGCTGCTCAGGCTCGGCACTGTTGACGAAAATGAGACAAAACTGGATAAATCTACTACCACTTGATAATACATATAACAGTACACTAAAGAAAGTGTAAGTTTGCTGTGTGACCGGCGGCTGCTAGTTTTGAATAACTGAATGTCCCCGTTAGTTAGCACAATTCATCAAAACAATAGCAAAATACTTACTACGATAAAGTGAGTGCTATATAAAGCCTAGATCGTCCACAAACACTCAAATTGAAATAATATGGGCAAGCAAAACAATGGATGAATACTAAAAGTAATAGAAAAAATCAATCAGTTTTTTAACTCATAGAATCCTTCTATAAACGACTTGTAACAAAGAAATATCAGGTAATAGCAACATATGTACTACGATTAATGGAGTTTTATATAAAGCTTAAATAGACTTGAAATTAAATGATATCTTCCCTAACCATAATTTGTAACAAAGTGATTTCAGGCATCAGGCTAATTTCTAATAAAATATGTTATCTGTATGAGATCAGAGGCTTAAATGCAGTAAAAAAAATAAGCAAGGATTGCAAAGAGTACAAAATGTTATAATATTATTACCCGAAGTGACAAATAAGGTCATCTTTATTTCAGTTTTTCAGTCATTCTTTATTTTGGCAGAGTAACATGCAAGGAAGTGCTATGAATGAACCTAGAAAAATAAAAAAGTAAACCCAATTTATATCATTCACATGGCGAGTTATGACGAATCGTTCCCAAAAGCTGTCTACAAATCGGTAGAATAAAGACTGATTTTGACACCTGTCTCATCTCAGATGTCTCCATGTATGAACTTGATTTGTCTTTTCAGTTAAAATAACTCGGTGAAGTCTGTGCTTACATTAGTTTGGGCGACTTGTGTGTATGGGTTTCCCCCGCCTAACATGCTTCATCACTAGCATACAGGCAGATTTTCGAAAAAGTCCTTCGTCCTATAAAGCTCGCTCCGCTTGCTCTTTGCTGTAAAAGTGAAACTAGTAAGGTCGACTTGTAGCTAGTCTACCAACATGCGCTCATGATGTTATAATAAATGTATTCGAGACGGAGAAAAGGAAGTTTCAAAAGTACCCTGCTAGGTTTAACTTTACGATAACAAGACACGTACCAATATTTCGAGGTGTCTCCTGTGTGTACTTTAAAAAATTCCCTTCTTAAATGGAATGATCGTCGTCCGCTCTTTTCGCATCCAAAATTCATTAATGGCCACGGTTGTACTTAATGCCGGAAGTAGAGTCGACCTTGATTTGGAACAACTCTGCCTGAAACCCGCCTCAATATTTCGTCGAAAATAATTGAGTCGTTTGTCTACTTCCATGTATTTCCCAATCTGGAAGCCCATTTACTCTAACCTGCATTTTAACAACAACAAAGCGAAACTGTTTAGATCAATTGATGAATACTATAAGCGTGCTTTAAAATTATGTACATTTATAGCCAATCAAAAAGCTTCGATCTGTTGACGTCAGTCAATTGGAAACAAGTCACGCTCATGAATTAGTCGCACTCAAGCCGGTATCTACATAGTCTGCTACACAGCCGTTTTTAGTGTCGTCACGCAACGCTCCTCCCCACTAACGGCTGCTGAAAACCGAACTACATTCCTTTCCCGTGATTAACCAATTATAATTCAGCTCCCATTTTCTGGAAGGTGTTCACGCCACGTTTGCGGTACTGTGACTCCTCCACTCACAGCTTTGCTTTTATCGGTGCCCCATGTGTGAATGACAGAATAATCAAAATCGTCGCTTGAAAACAAGTGAGGAGGAGCCTTGCGTGACGACTCTAAAAACGGCTGTGTAGCAGACTAGTATCTACAATCATCGTCAAAATTGTTGGGAAGACTGCTACTTACTTTGGCCTGTTTCTCGGCATGCTTTCAGGATCGGATATAAACAGATATATACTCCTCCAAAAGTAGATAACATCCATTGGAACAATATGTTTCGCGTGTTCTTGCCGATCTCTTCCTTTCAGTTTTAGTTATAGAATTTAGCCATTTCTTCTTTGGGCAATTCTTGTATTTTAGTTCACTCCTGAAAAAACTACATTAGGGCCACCGCGCCTGGAAACAGGCTTTGAAAGATTGTGGTAGCATTATTTTTTGCATACTTCGTCACTACGAGCATGCACTTTTGGCTAGTTTCATGCAGCCAATGTTTTTTTGGCTGAGATCAGTGTTACATGCAATTTTAAGAAACAAAGTCAATCTTTTGTCACCTTATTCACGGGATCTATTGAAGCACTTTCAATATACAGAGACCCCAGGTGGCTACAATTCATGTTATTTTTTGGTATCTTTTCCTTATAGAGGAATCAATGGAGCTGTAAGGTATCCAGTTGCTTCAGCGAGAGCTCCCACGGAGCAAGGGGTAGGTGACATTTTTCTTTTTTAGAGACTGGTTTCTATCAGCATGTTATTAGTCTTCGAGACCTACACGAGACTGATGAGAGAAAGAGTTCTTTCCGGATCCAGGTTCTGGCATAGTCTTCAAGTACTCTCTAATTTTCTCACAAAAGAATGGGGAGGGGTCACAAGAGCTGTACCCGGTTAACTGTTCTTAATTGACGAATCTGTGTACTCAGGAAACACTACACAAAGAAGTGATCAGGTAGTCCCCCGGGGTTGTACTTTAGGTCGGAACGTTTGCGTGGGAATGTGCCGCTGAGACCTTAGAACCCCTAGCCTATACCAGACCTAGTTCAGCTAACTTTGCTATCCTATACTTGACCAAACATCTCAAATCCCTTCCTATCCTATAGTCGCTTTTTTCCAGAAACTACTGAGGTCATCGCTATCTTTGCTAATAAACTGAGTTGCGGGTAAATTTAAATTTTCCGATTTCATTTTCTAGTGTCAGTCCCCGTTTTTCCCAGTCCTCGACCAATTGACCTTTTTCCTTGGAAATGATACACCCTATTCTAGATCCAAACCAGGGGCGCAGCGTCTATATACGCACATACGCCCGTGAGAACACCTGCACTGATCTGTATAATATCAGTACTTTTTCCCTGATTTCCAGGAAGTATTTTAATCATTAAATCGGGATAACTGATAAATCTTTCGCATTATAATGGTGTCTTTACCCATCTTAAGGGTGGACATCTCGCCCTTTGCTTGTAGCCTCCTTGATGACGTCACCGTTTTCCCTTTTTTCCGTTAACATTGCACCCTACCGATAACACTAGAGATGTAAATTAAACAACTAAACATTGCATTTTGCTCCGTATTTATTTCCTGAAAATGTCTTGCCGAATACGTAGGAAATGGCATTTCCGAGCCCTAAATTTGAAAAAAAAATTTCCGCTAGAGCTATCCCCAGACCTCCCTAGTTTGCAGTACCGTCGAAGGCGCAACCTTTCTTTCCTCACGCTACGCCCCTGCAAACTCTCTGATTTCTGCATCTTATCCCAGACCAAACTGCTTGAAAACCATACCCTTCACAGCGGCACATACCCATGAGCCCATATATAGTAGTACCCCCCGGTCCATGTTCTTCTAAGAAAAAAAGAATCTTTATCATTTCTTTTACTGTAGGCGATCGTGTGTCAACCCACTGAGGAAGTTGATCATCCCATTCATGTAAGAGAACATAGAGAGGAACAAAATCCTCAACAGCCTGGTGCCATACGAGGCACTCAGAATGGGCTGATGGGTCCCCAAGATATACCACCTTTGGTAGCTGTGGTATCAAGATACCCTGATCTCCTGGTGGAGCTACCTGTGAAGGTTTTCCAGTCGCACTCAGGGAGTAGCCAGGCGATGCAGTATCACGCTTGTGACATGCAACCACATCGTGGTGAGCTGGACAGAGGAAGACTGCAGGTCAACGAGAGGGTAAGACCACAAGCACGTCAGAATGGAACCAGGTACTCTGTCGAGGAGACAAACCAGTTTCACGAGCAGGCCCAAGAAGTTGAACGCATTGGTGCAATTTCTCTTCCTCTGCAAATAATAATTAACAGGTTAGTACGCTTATGGTGCACATGGCGCAGCTGAGGGTCCGTACCTGGCCATCTGGTGAACCTGCCGAGATGCTTTTTGCAGTTCAATTTCTTTTGATAGTATACTGATGTCTGATTAATTCATGCGTTAGAACCCCTTTTTTAACTTTTGGTTCATCATCTCAAACGGTCCAGCGGTCCGTTGCTCTCCAAAGATCCGACATTAATTGACCGGCTCAGACACTTGTAGTTGTTTACATTCGGGAAAGAGGTTTTAGTTTTGCAGATAACATAATAAAAGTATAAGTACACAAAACAAAATGGAATGGTTTGTTAACTAGGACCCTGGATCTTAATCGTTCTTCAGATTTTGATTTGAGTATTTGAATTCCGGGGGAGGTGGGTATTCCCCATACTGGCCTATACGGGCAGGCTCCGCCCGAGAGGGGTACCTTTTTCAGGCTTCAGATATATGAAAGGGTAGGGAAATCTTAGCCTAGTCTCTAGTCGTTCTCTCTTGATCCGTTGTCCGCGCGAAGTCTGGGAGAGAGCGGGCGGTGACGTCACAGTTCATGGTAGAGTCCAGAAATGACCGAGCCGAAAACGCCTGGGGACTAGGCTGGGGAAATTTGTCATTTGGGTCTGTGAAAGGGTCCAAAAGGGCTGAGAGATGAATTTTATGGCTTTATAAAGTCGAGAAAACGTTCCATTTTTGTGACTGATTCCTATTGAAAAGACAAAGCATTTACAGCAGTTAAAAGGGATGAAAAGTTCTAAACAAGGTATGTGAAAAGGGTACCATTTGTCAATAGAAGGTATACGAAAGGGATACTTTTTTCGTGAAAAATGGTAAATAAAAGGGTAAGGTTGGACCTTGGGGCGGAGCCTTCCCGTATAAAAATTTGTTAAGTACCCTCCTCCGGAATTTGAATTCGGGGCTTTCGAGAAACGAGAAGATCCCTAACGGTGGAGAGTGAGTAGAGACTATATTTGCTTCTATAACTTCGATAATCCTCTCAGTTACTTCTAATTCTTTGTCTTGCGAGTTGTAATGTATGTTTTTTTTACATGTTCATTATTTTATCTGCATATTACATGGGTCTACAACAAACCAACTAAATGATTTGTAAGCTCAAGTGGTTAGACTGCGCTCTACCGATATCTCAGAGGTCCAAGCCTGAATTTGTCAGGCTTTCTTTCCGCAACTGCGTTGTAAAAGTTGCTTCCTAGTAAAATCATTTTCTTTACATTTAATTCTCTATTCCGCAACAGTTCTAATATATGTTCATACGTTCATTATTTGATTTGTTAGCCACTGTTTAAAATTCTTTTTTTCTTTTTGGCAGATTTTAAAAATTGCTCATGAAAACCACACTCAAGATTTTACAGAAAACAATTATAACATTTATAATGATAAGATGATTTTCATTTCCATAGGTTAAGTCCTCCAGAGCCAAAGTCATCCATTGGTCAGAACTGTGGCGGAAAATATATTTGGAAGATAGAGCATTTCTCTCAACACCTCCAGGATGCTCTCAATGGAATAATAACATCACTTGAGAGCCCTCCAATTTACACAGGCCTACAAGAATATAGGTTCTTCATGCGCATTTTCCTAAAAGGCGTTAATGGTGGGGATCAACAGCACATTGGCCTTTTTGTTGGCATGATGAAGGGAGAATACGATACTGTTCTGGAATGGCCCTTCTGTGGACGAATCTCTCTCACCATCAAGGATCAAAGCACTGATGTTCATGGCTTCCGCAACGATATCAGTGGCACTTTCATGGCCAATAGAAATCTGGGAGCTTTTCAGAAACCTGCTGCTGCCGAGAGCGGATACACCACCCTGTATGGCTACGCAGAGTTTGCACCCGTCGCCACGGTTTGTACCCCACAGTACTCTAAAGATGACATATTGATGGTCAAGATTGAGATCCATAAAAACATCTAAACAGTCATTTTCCTTCTAAGGAAGCGCAACTTCTTGGCTGTAAAAACTCCATAAAAGAATTTTTGCATTTTAAAAAACAACATATGAATACAACAGCCAAGTAGAAAAACTGCAAGTATGATAGCCATTAGTATTGCAATAACGTTTTTATACAGAAATGTTAGTGCATTGAAATATATACCCTCTAACTTCGCATTTAATAGTTCTTAGATGAGTTTATAATTCTTTTTGATTTTTGTTTCCATTTTACTCAATAATTCTTTAGTAATGATATACATACATACATACATACATACTTTATTGACTTTCCCAAGGGGCTTTTCAAAGACAATACATGATCCTATTTACAATTAAAAAATGTTTTAAAATATATATAAAATTACAATTCTTTAAGTAATTTGGTACGTAAACGAGTTTTAAAAACATCAATCGAGTTACACAGTTTAAAGGAATTGTCTAAGGAGTTCCATAAGTTCACAGTTCTATAGAAAAATGTTCTCTGACCGGCAGCTGTTCCAAAAAAGGGAATTTGTAAAAGCTGTGAATTTCTGGTGCTACGTCGGCTAACCTCTGCTCGCTTTATGAATTTTGATGTAAGGTATTCAGGGGCTTGACCGGTCATACATTTAAAAGCCATTGTAGCGTTCCGGTAATAAAGCTGACTGGGAACTGAAAGCCAATTTAGCTCCTTGCGAATTGGTGTAACATGGTCAAATTTACGCGCGCCGCTAACAATGCGGCATGCGAAGTTCTGCACTGCCTGTAACTTGTTGACATTACATTTTGAGGTATTTGACCAAACATTGGAGCAATAAAATAACCTGCTAAAAACTAAGGAATTAATAATCATCAAAAGTGTACGTTTGTCGAAGACATGCTTGACACGGTTTATCTGGCCAAGGCGGGACATGCACGAGGAAGCGGTTTTAATTATATGTTCATCGTAAGTTAAATTAGGATCCAAAGTCACACCAAGGTCTTTGGCGGTGTCTGTAGGGACAATGTCCTTACCCATAAAGGAAAGGTAACGAAATTGGAATTTTGCACGCATCTGCCTGCTGCCAAATATCATCAACTTGGTTTTGCCAGGGTTTAGTAACAATTGATTGTTGGAACACCATTCCCCTATTTTAAACAGGTCGTCTTCCAAATCAGCAATTGCATCCAGGTTGGCTTTAAGCTCGAAGGAAGTGATGAGTTTCGTATCATCTACATAACTCTGGGTGCTGCTGTCTAACGACAAAAACTATATTAACCCTAAGAGCTGAAGCCAGGCCTGAAGGAGGGGTACTTCCTAGTAATAGGCTGATGGGGATGCGCCGCTGGATGGGGTCACATGTTTTCATGACTGGATTGACTATAATCGGTTGCATTATTATTAGAGTTACTAGGATGGGATAGAATATTTTTGGGATTTGGGGGATCTGAAATTCAGGTAGGTAGGGATATAAAAATGGGAAGATTTTTACTTCTTTAAGTTTGACCAATGTGTCAATTAATTCATTTCAGGATGACCTAGTTAAAAGGCTTTTTAAGTAGGATGCGTGAACAGAAAGCGACCAAGTTGATATCGCGAAAATTACATTTTCCCAAAAGTGACTAAGATGGAGTCCATATTTGGCTACAGAATAGACTACAATCGGGTAGGGGTTCTGAGAGGCCAGCGGCACGTAACCAGTAGAAATTAACCCAAGTAACCCTCCCCCCCCCCCCCCGGGGGGGGGGGCCAGTAATCGACCCCTGTTAAGAGTCATCAGCATCAAATTTCTCCTTTTAAAGTCAGTTCTTCATGAAACAGAGTGGTATTAAGAATTAAGAACATTACCAAACACTTTATCCATTTGGGAAATTTACAAGGACAACAAATAAGGATTCACTCTTTTTTATATGAGGGTTTTTAAAGCTAAAGCGGTTACCGACCCTAGCTTGTGTTGATGTCCGGTCGAAAGAGATGTCTTAAATCAGGGGCACCCATCGTCAATTTTCGGAAAATATCTGTTCGGAAGACGATTTGAGATCTAGAATTTTCGGAACATTTGTTGTAAAATTTCTTGCTTGCCTGCCTCTCCTAAGATTTTCGAACATCTAAAAAATGGTATAATTGCCCATTTTTAACGGATTTTTAGCCTAAAAAGGTCACCCAGAATTTTCGGAAGCCTTTTTTCTGGCTGAAATTTTCGAAAACGTAAGTTTTGATCCCTATAATTTTCGGATCACTAAACTTTCAGCTACGAAATCCGAACAGATAAAAAATTTTTAGGGGATAAAAATACACCTATATCTACCGTTTAAATACCAAAATACGTTTAACAATGCTATGTTTAAGTGGTTTTGAACTATATTCTTGTTGGGTGCCCCTGTTAAATGCTACACGCTACACATGCAATAGCATGCGAACGGCAAACGTTTCTCCTCGTTCATCGCCGCTGAGGGACGTTTCGTTCCTCCTCGCGAAACGTCCTCGTTCAGTGGCGATGAGCGAGGAGAAACGTCTGCCGTTCGCATGCTACACACGCAAATACCTACAATAATCGTTTTAGTCTTTAGCCGAATGGTTAACTGCATAGTCTATTTCCTTTAGATGTAACGCTAGAAAATCACCTTTATCGTTATTTTTGCGAGGCAGCAATGACCATGATGTTAATATATGCATCGAAATGTGTAACATTGGTTTGCAATCATACTTATATCGCATCGATTTGAATATGATGCTGCGTAGTTACAGAAGGTGATAATTGTTTGTTGATGTGGAAGCTAGGCTGGAGGTTTGTGTAGGGGTTGTACGGTATCAGAGACAGAGGTGAAAGTTTCCAGTTATTCTCTCACTGAAGACTTATATTCCGCAATGTAGTCATAGTGTATAGCTGCAAATTATGAAGGGGGTGACGAAAGGTCTTCTTAGAGATAAATTTTATGTCACGTCATTTTAAAATCATCGACACTTGTCATTTTATGTTCCAATGAAGGACGTGAAAGCGCGCTTCCGCCTTTAGGGAGTGGTGCTTGCCGCGGAGAAATTTTCTATTGCGAAAAGGTTTGATGGAGATACTTTGCTTCTTTCGCCATCCCTATTTTATACAAAGAAAAAGACTTTCGTAAAGTTAAAAAGTGAGCAAAAAACGCTCAACTGTTCCATGTGTTGTATCGCTTGTAGTGTCTTAAATCAATAAAGCAAACGTGAAACGTTACGCTTTTTTTTATTCTTCGAACTGCACGTACATTTGATTTCATAATATGAGAAGCCTGTTTGATTTAGTCTGTTAGATGGCCATCAATGGCCATAGATCAACATGTAAATAGTCCCTGACTTCCATTCTTCTTTGATCCTTTTTTTTACAGTATAGATTCGTCCCAATGATCCGCTCATCCCATCCCGTTCGGATCCCCCCTCACTCCACGCTCCGTTTCTCACAGTTTTTCCAAACAAGTTCTAAGGAAAAAAGAAACAGTTTATGGTAACTGAGTAAATACTTCTTCATCTGTAAAATTATATAAAGGCCAGCCGCAGTCCTTTTCACCGGGTTCAAGACATGAGTTCCGCTAGAGCCCACTGTACCTCGAAATTAAAAAAAAAACTTTGACACTTCTGTAGACGGAAGGAAAAAAAATAGAAACATAATCATGCGACCAGGGTAATGGTCACCAGAACCAAGGCACGTATTTTGGGAAGCTTCCAGACGAGGAAACTGACAGGAAACAATGGACACGTTAGGCATAATGGGATGAAGGATGGTCTGGTGGCTCTCAGGAACGAGAATGTGGTTTCCTTCAGCTCAAATGAGGAGGGGTGGGGGGTTCACGTTGGATGGTGGGGTCTTCCCTCGATCTTGCACCAAGACACTCTTTCTCTCTCTTTGACCGGAATAAGCAAGACGAGTGAACAACAACTGCTAGCTTCTCACTAGCATATCGATGGACGATTACAGAAATTCGCCGACAACCAAATTCTGTGCTGACTTATTCCCTGCTCACAGATGTCCTTCTGCTATAAAGTTTAAAATAAGACTATGCGTGAGTGTGAATTGATCAAACCTCCTTTCAATTTCTAAGGCTTCCTTTCCAGCAAATAAAATGAACTGAATGTAAAAAGTGAAAGAGAAATGGCAAAAAATTCAACTTCTTATTACATCTTTTCTTATCGTTTAATATAAACTATTCTCGAAACTGAGAATGTTTTGATCAAAGCTGTGTAAATCAACCTGAAACGGTGCATGGAACCTTGCATTTCCTGTATTTATCTCACCTATTGTGTGGAATATGCGTAAAAATCTTCCTTATGAATTGGTATATTTCAAAGAGCTACACAACGAGCAAGAATGCTATTGACCGGCAATATACCGAGCTGGGGCAGCTGTAGTGTCAACTATTACTAGTGACATATATAGAGAGAAACAGTGATCCAGTCCAGTGTTCTCATGAAGTGTTCTCTTTTTAAGGAGTTTTTTCTTCTTTGTTTTTGTTTTCAAATTTAGTTTTTATGTTTTAACTACATTACGACATCCGTCATCCTTCCCTCAAGGAAAACGTTCATAAAACTTGTGAAAACAGGTCAATTTCCCTTTGTATGCATCAACGGATGCAGCAAAAAATGTATATGTGGTTGATCAGAAGCTCGGGGGTGGGGGGGGGGGGAATTGTCTCTTTCTGCGTGCCCGGGAGTGGGGAATAGACCTCCACAAAAGAAAAATCTTGCAAATCCCCGGGCGTGTGCCGGGGGGGGAAGGTTACAAGTAAAATTGCTGCATGCATAATACGAGATTTAGTTTTGTTTGTGACACAAGCCAGCGGCAGACAATGCCAAGAAGGGAAAGGGCTCCGTGATGCCACACCATAAGTATCAAGCTTAAATAAACGTCATCATCGCGTACATAATTGTTGATGACACAATTGTCGTCAGGTGATGTCAACCTTTCACAGTAAACTGATTGATTTGGTTATTATTTAAGCTTAGATCTTCTTACCTGATTCAACAATCCTCGATTTCGTAAACTTTCCAACAGATATCCAGTGACATTATCCATTCTACGAATAACACTTTTAATCTCTGGTGAATCAGGGCCAAATTTATGCCCACTGTGATCTGGCTCGTTAAAATAAGCGGCCAAAAAGCTTGGAGGATCATCCTGCTCTAACATTGTACATAAATAATCTATTCGTTTCTCGAAGGAAAGTGACCGATTATAGGGTAAATAGTGTGTAGGGTACTGGCCTTCTGTTTTCACTTCTGAACCAGGCCAAAACACAACAGCACTTTTCTTAAAAGCTTTTTGATTCGTGATCCACACCGGTTCTCCGTTCCACCATTTTGAATCCAAGTAATGCTTTGACACCGCATCTAAGTAGAAAGTGTCGTTGAAAACAGGATCGAAAAACGTATTTGCTACGATCCCGTGGCTTTCCTCATAAAGTCCTGTAACTAACGTGAAATGATTCGGGAATGTCTTGGTAACAAAGGTATTGAGAAGGTGTTTCGCTTTGATGCCATTGCTTGCTATAAAATTCAAATTTGGAGTAGGAACTTTCTCCATGTAGTCCCACCGGAAACCATCGTACGAGACCAAAATTACAGTGGGTTGTGTCAGAACGATTCTCTTATTAATCGAGGCGATGGCGTTACGATTAGGAAAAAATAAGAATAATATCAACATGTGCAATCGGTCTAGCCTCATAATGAAAAATTTTTGGAACGGCACGAAAGGCACTGCAATTTCTCGTTTTCCAATAACGAGAAGACCCTGGAGACGAGTTCCAAACCGTGAACTTGCTCTGGAAAGCCAACATATCCTCCTACCGAGAATGATCGATACAAGCATTTGTCAAATGTGTCAGAAATGATCGTATTGATCATTTTAGCAATAAGGATTGCTGCTATTACCCAGGTCTCCTCGCCTAATAGTATTATAATTTTGCTATTGATGGTTCATTCAAAATGGCGGATCCCTCAGAAACCCCTGTAACACTTACACAAGCTGATTCTGCTCCAAAAGGTTTTTCAAAATTGTTCAGTTATATTAAAATATTGTACAGTGGGTCATGGTTTATAGATGAAACCGCAAACGATGCTTAAAGTAGGTCGTTTTGGTAGCCGAGGGGAAAACTCCGCCAGTCCTCGCGATACTGCAATCGAGCCGCTACCGGTCAAAATTAACAGTCACTTACAAGTCACTTAGAAGTAACTTTCTATCTGATTGCTTTCCAGGGAAGTCTGTTTCTTCATCCAAAACTCGCAAGGTAAGCTTAATAATCGTTCGATAATACTGGAAGCAAACCCTTGCTTCTCTCGTATCCTTATCTCATAAGTAAAGCATTGCATGGCCACACCGTGCACTGCAGCTAGACTCACTTTTGGAGATCCAGGGGTAGTAACTAATGTACGCTACATACGAAGTTGGGGTGGCCATCCATTGACATTTGCTTTAACTGTTTCTCGGTTTAAAGGTTGTTTATGATCATTAGAATGTGGACATGGAGAGAGACAACAGATAATCAATGATCTGTAACTCAAAGGCTGACAACTCCAAAGGAGGCCGCATTCAAATTTCAATCAGCATGCTGTTAGCATAGTTTTTTCCTTCGGCATTTAAGCAATTACAGTGATTATTGCAATTCTTTTCTATCAATTTGATTATTAATTTTTATTCCACCCTGATGTTGATGCATAGTTCGCCTTATCAGTAAAAAAAGTAGTCTTTTTTTCTAGAATATGTTCAAAAATTCAAATTTCCTCTACGGATATCCGTAGTGCTGTGGCTTTAATGCTTTTTAAATACCTCTTTTATCACGTTACTCTAAATTAACTTACATTCTTGTTGATCTGCTGCAGCTTTCCTTGGAGCAATGTAACCTTTTCAAGATGCCACTTCAGGATTTTACTTATTCAAGATAACAGCTACTAACTTGCTGTCATACTGAGCTTTCATCATGTAGCTTTTCCTGAGTTGGCCACATACAGGTCACCAAAGGTTTTACAGTGGATTGCCATTTTACTAACAACTACGGTGGCACCATAAAGGCACTTTATTTGCTTGTCAATGTATAAACAGGAAAGTGTTTATTAAGGACAGCATTTTTGTTTCTACTAGAGACAGGACCACTATTTTTCCTTGCAGTGGTCATACAAACCACATGAAGGTGTAGCCATTTGCAGGGCAAAGGCAGTACCTTCATTTCTCAGTTATTGTAAGACCCCAAGTACTTTTCCAGCCATGGCAATCTAGTCTGCAACCTTCTTTGTAGTCAGGTGCTCTACCTATTGGGTTAGCCTGCCACAACAATAGCAAAATATGGTAGTCACAATATATAGGAGTCAGTCATTTACCTGATATTCAAACTGCATTGATATTATTTGTTATTCATTAATGTTTTTTACCATGACGCTTAGGCCACCCTTTTTTTTTTCCGTTCGGCGTCGTCTGACCAACCCAAATTTTTGGCATTGTCAAAAAAAAAAAGGTAGCGAGTCAATGTCGTTAAACCATTTTTCATTTGAAATAATTCTTTTGGTCTGAAAAATGAGCATAGTAACAGCATAGGGAAAAACAGGAACAAAAACAGGAGCATTTTTTACAGTATATTGTGCATTTTGTCAATCCAAATATTATGTGAATGTTAACCTTTAACATCAGGGCCTCCAAGACTTCTTGTGATTTTTTTTTTTTTTTTTTTTTTCGGACCGATCAACCCAATCTCAGTAAACGCATTCAACGCTAAATGAAAAAAAAAAGGGGGATGGCCTTATTGAAAGTGGTGGGCATCCTCTATTCTTGACCTGTCTTTCTGGTCTTTTTTTACTTATTTATTTTTCTCTTAGTGCATGTTGTCAACTCTTTTGTTAACAGCGAGATTTTTCTGCACAAAAATTTCAAAAACAAGAGGGATGTTGTCTAAAGCAAGGTCCTATGTAACTAAAAAATCGTTTCTTTTGGTTTTGTCTTTTTTTTTAGTCTATCCATATCTCACATATTGCAACATAATATGGAGTTCTACATATCCCACAAAAATTATCAATATAATCTACTTGTTACAGAAAAGAATTGTTCAAACAATCTGTGCTGCAGATTACAGTTCCCCCAGTAAACCCAAAAAATAAAGAAAGAAAGAAATAAACAAAAAACAAAAAAACATTTTTCAAAAACTTGGTTACAAAATTTATTTCAAACTGAAAGTCAAGGATTATTGTACTAGATATGCCAAGTCATATCGTCCTCATACCTGCAGAACAAACATAAAAAATTTTATAATCTTATACCAAGGACTGAAATTTTAGAACTCTTTACCTCACTCAATAATTAGATCAAACAACATAAGAACCTTTAGAGTTATTTTACTTGACTCGTGAAATAGGTAGTACAATACTGAGCACTCGTATGCACTAATTCCATTGTCTTCTTTTGTTTTTCTATTGCTATTGTTCACTAGTTGTTACTATCTCTTTCACAAGTCAAGTAAAATCACTGTAAACGTTTACTTACTGGTAATCAAATTTAATAAGTTTACAGAATACTCAATATATCGTCTGTAATTTATTACTAGTTATCAGACTGACGATTAACTTTTTTTTAATATTTTCTATACACTTGTAAACTACTTTCATATTATATGCTGTTCTTTATTTATATGACTATATAAGTCATTAATAAAAAGTAATGTAAAGAGGAAGTCTCACCTGTAAGTGTTCATGGCTTCTTGAGACTGTTTTTAGTTTCATGTATTTTTCATGTAATGTAATGTTTTTTCCTTTCATTTATGTGTAAAAAGGCATTAAATATCAATAAATCAATTGAATGAGGTTTGCAAGTAATATGTGTAATTTCTGTAATTCTTTTTGTTGTTATTGCACTTGCTATTTTTCTTCTTTTTCATTTCATCATATTCTGATATTTTTTTTGGAAAAGCGCTGCCCAGCTTGTAATGAAGATTGCCCTGTAGCTGTGAAGAAGTGCAGGAACAGGGAATGTGATTATACGTTTGAAAAGAAAAAGAAGGACTGGGAGAGGGTGAAGAAGCGAGGAGTGATTTCCCCCACACATGAGAGGGAGAAACTTGAATACAGAGTAGGTATTTACATTGTAGAGATACACTAAAAACCAGCAAGTAATAACCTGTATTTTCCCAATTAAGTTAGCCAAAAAAGGTTCTTACATAAAAGGTAATGAGCACTTACATTGTAGGTTTTTAAAGAGGTTCTCATTTTGTGAAGGAAAAGAAAATACATTTTAGCTTAGAGTAGGTGGTGGTATTTAAACTTATGCCTTATACAAAATCTATGTACCCTTACATTGCAATAATATTTCAGTGATAAGACACCTATTTTTTTTCAAAGAGGATCCTGAATGCTTACTTATCTTCTTTAGCCAAGGTTACAAAATGCTTTATAGATTTTAGAAAATAAGAGGCCTGTGAATACAGCCATTTCTCCTAGCTCAAATTGTCACCGGGGATGTTTCCCTAGGAGAAATGTCTATGACTCACGAGAAGCACCCATATTATTTACATAGTTGTTGTTTTTTAAACAAAAACCCTGTGGGAAGTAAGCCAAAATATACTTGTGGCAAGAACAAAATAAAATTATTGTTGTGTCCCCAGTTAGTGCCAAGAGGCACTAGAACAATTAGACACTTTGACAAAGGCTATGTATGTATGCATGTGTGCTCTTCAATTAAATGAACTGAGTGCTCTATGAAATACAGTCTACCCAGAATACAAGTATGTTTGTATGTATGTATGTTTGCTTTTATCAATCATTGGTATTTTCAGTTATCACTTAGGTTTGTATTTTTTGTTCATTATTGGTAGTAATTGATATAATAACTTTATCATTAATATAAACTTTGCATTATAGGCTGATTGTTTGCATGAGGGCTGCGATTATGATGTAGTGGTTTTATACCACTGCAAACATGCCAAGGGAAATTCAATTTTCCCTTATGCCACACCGGGGAAAGCTTTTGAATTTCTTGGAGATGGCTCCAAAGAGCACCCACCATCTGATGAGGGCCGTTTCTTTCTCCAAATGTTTTCGCAGTTTTTCCTAGGTATGCTTCATTCTCTTTATAAGTGTACTTATTGACAAGATTAGCTTGAGTGCGTGTGCCTTGAAGGTAAATAGCAGTTAACTGCAAAGATCAGGAAAGCAAATCATAGCTTAGATATGCAATCACATGCCAGCCTGTGCAGATGGAGCAGCCACCCTGCACAAACCTGTCTACCTGGGGCTCCACCAGTGACCCGCTAGCATTGTCTTCAGGTTACCCTTTCCTAAATTTAGCCACATAAAATTAAATACTAAATTAATGACAATTCATTATTTTTATTCTTGCTGACTTTTCATTCAAGTTCTTTTCTTTATATATGTAAAGGACATCCCCATGGTATGCCAAAGTGGACACATAAAAAAAAAGGTATTAAAGTTTTGCTGTTAGTTAATATTACTGTTTGTATTTCGAACTCTGTCTTCTAGTATTTTCATTAAATTTACAAATGACTCAGACAAGGGACTCTGAGATCATCATTAGCTGACCTTCTTCTGCCCTAGCTACCCCTTTTCGGTTCTGGATATTTCCATTCCTTTCATCTCTTTTTTGCTTTTCATTCATGAAAGATGAGCAAAAAGGGTATAATTTTAAATGTATATTTCTATGAACATTGAGATAGAAACATTTTATTGTTATTTTTATTTTTATTTTTTTGGCAGGGTGTGAATAAATATTTTCCTTTTTACTGCATTCTTTAAATGTTCATCACTTTATCTCTCCAACCTTTTTCAACCACCAGGGACAAATCGTTTTTGTTCAAGAATTCATGTTACCGTATTACACTCAATTAAATGCACTCTTTGCCTAATATTGTTTACTGCGTTTTAAAATAGCTTCTTCTTTTTCATTACCGGAATTTTCTGCGATATGTATACCATCACATCTTTCTTTCCTCACAATGATTGTGAAAGCTAGGCAAAGACGCTTAGGAATTCTTTCCAGTTTAAACAACAGCGTAGTTGTCTGAACATTCAGCAAGCAAGTAACAGGGGTGACTTTTTAAATGATGTGAAAGAACTGGTTATCCTTACAAATATGGGGTGACTTGTCCAAACAATGCACTCTTTTCCTTATGAAATGAGGGTTAGCTAGGGTTAAAAAGCTCATTCGTGCAAGTCAGCTTTACAATCAGAAATTATTTCAACGATATCACATACTGTAGACAAATTCGGTGCGATATGTCAAGCCTTTCTTTTTTTGTTCCTTTTGAAATGCAGGTAAAAACGCCCAGTCAACCTCGTCAACGACATCAGCTGAGCCAGCTTCAAAAACGGAAGGTATTTACACCATATCACATATTCCTTTTCGAGCCATGTGTAGGGACAGTATGTCAACACAAGTTTGGTATAATGTTTTAAGCCATTACAGGTGCAGATGAAGGAACCTTTTTCTCCTTTTTTCTTTCTTTTGAAATGCAGGTAAAAACGACCATTCGTCCTCGTCTACGACATCAGCTGAGCCAGCTTCACAAACGGAAGGTATTTGCACCATTTTACATATTCCTTTTGGAGCCATATGTAGGGACTGTATGTCAACACAAGTTTGGTATAATGTTTTAAGCCATTACAGGTGCAGATGAAGGAACCTTTTTCTCCTTTTTTTCCCTTTGAAATGCAGGTAAAAACGCCCAGTCGTCCTCGTCTACGACATCAGCTCAGCCAGCTTTACAAACGGAAGGTATTTGCACCATTTTACATATTCCTTTTAGAGCCATATGTAGGGACTTTATGTCAACACAAGTTTGGTGTCATGTTTTAAGGCAATATAGTTTCAGATGAAGGAACCTTTCTGTTTCTTTCTTTCTTTTTTTTTTCTTGTGAAATGCAGGTAAAAACGCCCAGTCGTCAGCGTTAGAAATTATTTCAACGATAACACATTTTGTAGACAAATTCGGTGCGACATGTCATGCCTTTCTTTTTTGTTCCTTTTTACTAGTAAATGCAGGTAAAAACGCCCAGTCGTGCTCGTCAACGACATCTGCTCCGCCGGCTTCACAAACGGAAGGTATGTACACCTTTTGACATATTCCTTTTGGAGTCATATGTAGGGACAGTATGTCCACACCAGTTTGGTGTCATGTTTTAAGCCATTACAGTTATAGATGAAGAAACCTTTTTCTACCTTTTTTTTCCTTTTGAAATGCAGGTAAAAACGCCCAGTCGTCCACGTCAGCGACATCTCAGCCAGCCTCACAAACGGAAGGTATTTACACCATATCACATATTTCTTTTGGAGCCATGTGTAGGGACAGTATGTCCACACAAGTTTGGTGTCATGTTTTAAGCCATTACAGTTATAGATGAAGAAACCTTTTTCCACCTTTTTTTCCTTTTGAAATACAGGTAAAAACGCCCAGTCGTGCACGTCAGCGAAATCTCAGCCAGCTTCACAAACGGAAGGTATTTACACCATATCACATATTCCTTTTGGAGCCATGTGTAGGGACTGCATGTGAACACAAGTTTGCTATCATGTTTTAAGCCAACACACTATAACAACATGAAAGGCAGATCAATATGCCCAGCCATGAATTCCTTGTCCATCGGCAGAGCTAGCCACACATTCAGTAGTAAAATAAACGTGTCCAAAGATCATGGGGATCCTTTTTAACACAAATTGAATCAATGGATTAAATTTTTGTTATAAATAATAAGCTTCTCCTTTTTCTTCTTTTTGGGTGCTCTTTACTGTCAAAAGGTCCAACGGTGGTCATCTACAGGCAAGACGATCTCAATGTTGCTGTTGGCTACTTACACTCTGGGCGCCGGATGCTCCATGGGAAGCAAGTGCCCTCGGGCTATGATGTTGTACAGCTGACTTGGGTTCGGGAAGGGGAGGTGCTTGCACCTGTTCTTTTGGGAGATGTGGAAGAGAATAGAGTCTTCGCCTCAGGTCGTTTTTTTGCTCTTCCAAGATCCCATCTTTCGAAAGTAAAACTGGCCCCTTGACCCTTTCAGTCCTAACATTTGCTAACATGCTCTTTGTCCTTACCCTGCTTGTACCAGTGAAATTAGGAACGTATTTTCCTTTGAAGAAGACTTGACTTGACTTTAATGGATGGTGTAGAGTGTAGGAAAAGAGAACGTGAATGTTAGGCCTGAAAGGATATAGGTATTGTCCACTGTAGAAAGCTTAGCGCTATTTCCTTTTTCCTGTACCCTTCTTTTATACACTGCCACTTTGCTAATGCATTTGGACCACACCTTTCTTGTTGTTGTTATTATTATTAGTATTTTGAAAAAGGAAAGGTTGTTGTAACACCTACAGGGGTACCTTTAAGCGTTATTTTGGTAGCAATGTCCTTCCTGTCTAAACAGACTGGTACCTCGATAAGCTCAGAAGTAAAAACCAGCTACTAAAAACCTGCATTTTCCCAAGTTACCCTAAGCAGAAATAGAACCGCGAAGGAATAAGGACGATTGTGGGTTCCATTCCTGATGGGGGCTCGGTTTGTTTTCCTGAGCATTTTTTAGTTCTCTCTAGTGTCTATTTCAATTTCATCACACTTGGGAGGTTGGTTCGCCTAAACAGGTTCTTACATAAACGATAATTACCACAAATTTAGGCGGGGTATGTAGGTTCTTAAACAGGTTCTTATTTTGTGGAGAAAATAATTAATTGAAGCTGAGAGGACTTAGTGGTATATTCATTTTTTTTCCTGTATGAAATCTGCAAACCACTAATAGAATGTTGTTGGAGTGATAGTCCTAAGAGGATTCTGATAGGTGACTTAATATCTAGATTTTAGAAAAAAAGGCACTTTTTTCCAACTTTTGGCGAAACAGGTTTTTGTGTAGAGGATGCCTAACTGGCACATTTTAGTGTACATGTTCTGTAACACCAGCGAGGTTCTTATCGCGGATTTTTACTGTATTCACAAAACCAATCGCCCGTGGGTGAGGCTTCCAAATTCCATACTTTGTGTACTTTTCGTTCGTGTCGTTTCTTAGGCCGTACCCATTTCTGGGAAATCCTGCTCTTAAGATTTCCATAATCATGTCCTTTCTCTGTGGTAAGTTGAATACATACTAACAAAGTGCGAGCAGAATTAGATGATGTGAGCTGTCACCTCAAAATTGAGTGTTAGTGACATTATTAATTTGGAAATACGCCTTGCTGTACCTTATAGTATTATAGGACGTGGACGAGTTCATTCGTTTACATTTCATATCTCTCATTGAAGACAAACAATTGGTATGAAAACATCCGAATTGTCTTTTTAACTGTCTAATAACAAAATGGTAAGCAAAGCCTCGCAGTGATCCGTTTAAACTTTAGTATACAAATGGTGTTCGCTCGTTGCAGAAGCTCTCACCTACAACTGTAGTACATCACGTAACGCCAAATTGGAAATGAAAAACTGTTAAAGTTATGAATATATGAAAATCATATGTGTGAACTGCGGCGCGAAGAATTATATGAAAGTAGATCATCGCAGTGAAAGACGCAACTTTTGAAGTTGCGAAAAGAAAGCCCGAAAAAAATTCAGCCTTGTACGGGTTTCAAACCCTCGACCTCTGCGATAGCGGTGCAGCGCTGTTACCAACTGAGCTAACAAGCCAGCTGGGAGCAGGTCGTTGAATTGGTTGCGTCCATACCGTTGAAAAAGAGGCAGAATTGTTGATAGAGCCCATTCCCTTGCGTTTCCGTCTGTCCCCTACGTGAGAACCGCTCTACATTAAATAACCGCCACTGGGCTGCCCTTCAACTGGTGTTGCAATGACTTCGGTAGAATATTTCCTCTTCCCCGCTTGCACACCATGCACCATTGTACGTCCATTCTCCTTCTTCCTTGTAAATTGCTGGAAAAATGCCCACCTGCTCCTCCCCTGAGCCAACACTAGAAGCCCATTGCCACATTTAATGCAACGCGGCCGGTCGTTTTTTTTTTTGATATCGCGCTTTTGTAATTGGCGCGCTTTGATTGGTCAATACTTTTGTGTGACTTTCTCGAAAAAAGAAAAACGGAGCTAGTCAGCTGAGGCCGCACAACCCAGCGTTGTGTGTCTCCTCACCTGACAAATGGTTTCACTGTTCCCTTAAAGTCAATCAGTAAATACGTATTATTTCTTGTGGAAGTGGTCGACTCTATTAGCATTGAACCTGAAAGAAACTTGCACTGCTTCGAGATATGCCGAGGTTCGGTAGACAAATATGCGATTGCAGCTTTCTTATACCTTTCTTCAACAACTTCGTGTTATTGAAGGTAGGCAATCCTGAGGGCTGACAAAACATTACTTTTGTCATGAAAACCTCATATGCGGACAGCCAACAGGATTACAATATTTCATGGGAATAAAAACGACAACGATTCTCAAGCATTGACTGAGAAACTCTGTCCTACTTTTCTAAAACTAACTAACAAGACAAGTAGATGTTAGGGTAAGGGCCTTCATGGACAAAGCCAGTAACCGTCGTCGAATAACTGCTAGTCGTGAACCACAAGTAATCGTGGATGGTAAGATCAAGGAGCTACTCCTCAGATAGTTACGGCACGTATCGAGAACAAACAATGGGAGGGTCCCCTAAATTTCTGTACTATTGGCATAATGGGAATGGCCGAAATCCACTTTTTGTGGAACCTCAGATGCGGAGCTTGAGAAAATGAACTTAACCTTGAGCGATGCCCAACACCTGTCAAACTACCGAACTCAATGGCTTCGTGTTCCCCAGGCCTTAATTGCCGTAGAGGATTCCTTAAGGAAATACTTGATTCCTGTTGAACCCATTTTCTACTTTCGAAAATGATGCTGGAAAGACCGCTGATTCCATCGTTTGTCCTAAAATGGCTCTAACCAACTAGTTATCATTTGCCGTAAAATGGCTATAATACAACTACTCATGGATAAATATTGCTAATCAGATGAATTTTTGACCCAGGTGACAATTTCGGCGATGACGCTGGAAAGACCGCAAATTCCATCATTTGCCGTAGAATAAGTATGGTGAAAGTAGTCATGGATAAATATATTAATGTTGCTCACGAGATGAATTTTTGACCCATTTGCCAATGTCGGCGATGATGCCGGAAAGACCACAAATTCCATCATTTGCCGTATAATGGCTATAATCGAAGTAGTCATGGATAAATGTTGCTCATCAGATGAATTTTACACCCATTGGCCACTTTTGGCACTGATACTGAAAAGACCACTACTTTCATCAGTTGCCGTAAAATGGTTATATTCCAACTAGTCATGGTGAAATGTTGCTCATCAGATGAATTTTTGACCCATTTGCCAATGTCGGCGATGAAGCCGGAAAGACCACAAATTCCATCATTTGCCGTAAAATGGCTGTAATCGAAGTAGTCATGGAAAAATGTTGCTCATCAGATCAATTTGTCACCCATTGGCCACTTTTGGCACTGATACTGAAAAGACCGCTACTTTCATCAGTTGCCGTAAAATGGTTATATTCCAACTAGTCATGGTGAAATGTTGCTCATCAGAAGATTTTTTTACCCATTTGCCTATGTCGGCGATGATACTGGAAATACCGCCAATTTTATCATCTGCCTTAAAATTGCCATATTGAAAATAGACATTGTTGAATGTTGCTCATAAGACGAATTTTTGACCCATTTGCCAATTTCGGCGATGATACTGGAAATACCGCCAATTTTATCATCTGCCTTAAAATTGCCATATTGAAAATAGACATTGTTGAATGTTGCTCATAAGACGAATTTTTGACCCATTTGCCAATTTCGGCGATGATACTGGAAATACCGCCAATTTTATCATCTGCCTTAAAATTGCCATATTGAAAATAGACATTGTTCAATGTTGCTCATAAGACGAATTTTTGACCCATTTGCCAATTTCGGCGATGATACTGGAAAGGCCGGAAATTTTATCATTCGCCATAAAAATACTCATTGGTAAATGTTGCTAATCAGATGAATTTTTTGAGCTAATGATTCTGCAAAGACCGCTTATGCCATGATTAGTCGTAGGAAAGCTAGATTCCAGTTAGTCGTCCGGGGTGAGTCGTTTTGGAATGTTGGCTATTAAGACGT